AAAAAACAGAAAGAGTGGCGACAATGCGGATCGTTTGATGGTATCTTTTTACATCCATTACATAGATTGATCTCTATATATTTAGGTCTATTCATGAGGTGGGGTGTTTGGTTGCGATTACTGCTGTGCATCTGTATCTGCCGCCGCTTCCCACACACATTTCCTTTTCTTTTTTTCTTCTCCTTTTGTATTTTTAAGAAATAAGCTTAATTTACTGAAGCATTAGAAATGGGTTGTGGCTACTCTACCTACTCCGCGTCGGATGATATCGTGTGGAAGTATCACGGACCAATCGACAAGCCGATCAAGGCGATAAAGGTGTTTCCTAAAATACAAAATGGACTCCTCTTTCGCGTCTTGTATGACGGCGGCGATCGCTGGGCGTTTTATAATGATACCAAGGAATACGAATTTCATATCCGCTACTTCTTCAGTTCAGACAGCTATATTGAGGCGCTCCACAACGCCACGTTAACCTTACTCGAAAACGGGCAAAAGTTGGTAGAACTTATCGTCTACCCGCTTGAGACGGAAGACTTTATCGCAGGCTGCCCACTCCGTTATACAAGCACAATCGAGGGAATTCCTTCGTCGAATCGCTACAAGCTAGAGAAAATACGTTCAAGACTGCGATCCCAGATGTAAAGCCCCACAATGGAAACTTCGGAGAAATGGAAAAGGAGGCTGCGGAAGGGAAGTGGCGAATTCGTCGAGCTCGAAGATTTTCACCCTATTAAAAATATCGTTATATGTATATATATATATATATATACATATTGTTTCAAGAGCTCATGTTTACCAATAAGATTGGGTTGATTTGGTTTGCTCCCTCTCCTTACGTTTATTGTTTATTTACTAAGTCAAATAGGTGTCCACTTTTTCATGTATATCTGTGTTTGTTCATATAGTAAAGCCAAAATATTATAAAATTAGGTGTTTTACGTTGTCTAAATTGTCTGATGTCTAGACTTTTTCATAGTTAATGTTTTCCTATTATTTTATTTTTTCTTGGAATTGTGGTGATTATATTTATGTTTTTAAGGAAATTGAATAAAAATGAGTTGCCTGTTATGCTTTTTCCCCTTTTGTGGTAACCGTCCACTTATGTTTTGCGTAACTCGGCGAGCATTACCACTTTCAAGTGTAATTTTTTTACCTATGGCATTTCTGGTAGGCTTTTTAAATTTGGACTTTCTTTATTGCTCTAAATCTTTTAACCACTTTTTCCACTGATTTGCTCGCTCGCATGCTTTTCAAATATTCGTTTATCTCTAATCCATACTGTGTGGTTTATTTTCTTTTATTGAATCGTTTCGGCAAAATCACCGGATCCGTACAGCTCTTCACTTTATATGTAAAAAAATGCGTCTAATGGTTGTGCATTTGGCCAAGAGGGAGTCCATAAGCGTGCTCACATATTTCAGAGTCGCCAATACGGATTTCAGTAAAACTATTGTAGATATTGTGTGTTTTCGTTCACCATTTATTCTATGTGGAGATGTCATAACAATTGCCTGTCTCCAAGGCTTAAACGGGAATGCGCCAGCAAAGCGCACACGTCATGATTGTGATTGTATTACTTTTCTATCTTTCCTCAATGAGATTGTATAGCTTTCAAAGAGGAAGTTTTCAAAGAGAAAGGAACCTAACGAGACCCGAAAGAATAAACCAAAAGGGTGGACAATCCTTCACTCCCTCACCCCCTTGCGTGTGCGGTGTGCGGTGTGCTTTTCTCCCTGGTTTGATTTCTTTAGTATTATTATTATCACCATCATCATTCGTTTAGAGATGCGCTCGCTATCTCATCTTCTGTTTGTGCGGGCGGGCAGCGTTTCGAAGGGCGGGATTCGATTTTTCGCCTCCACGGCCCCGCACGCGCAGACGCGCGGTGGTAGGGAGCGCGCCTTTCGCGGCCGAACGAATTTATCCACCTCCTCCCACACCCCTCGCGGGGGTGGAGGGGGAAATGGAAGAGGCGATCGCGCAAGAGAAGGAGGAGGCGGAGGAGGGGGCCATCGTCCGGAGGCGGAGTCGATTTACCCGGTGCGGTGGAACCTCACGCACGACGGCGTCCTCAGCTCCGGCACGCGCGACGCGATGCGGGATGACGAGGTCATCCTCGCGCAGCTCTTCCGTTTTCTCCCCTCCAACGGCGCGATCTCCGTCAAGTCCCTCAACGCGCAGCTCGAGGAGGAGGTGCGGGAGGCGTTGACTGAAAAACACGGCGGCCTCGGCGCGTTTCTCCGCGCGCGGCGGCATCTTTTCGTGGTGAAACCGCGCCCGACGGATGGGGTGTTGTTTGTCGCCGCGAGCCCTCTCGCCGCGCAGCGCTACGCGGTGCGAAATTTGCAGCGCGCCACGATGCGAGAGATGCTCGGGCTCGATCGAGTAAGCGGTGGATCTCGCCGAGGACCCCCTGCCGGAAGAGGCGGCGCAAATGAACGCGGAAGAGGGCGAGGAAGAGGAGGCGGAAGGGGGTTTGGAAGAGGACGCGGAAGAGAGGGCGGGGGAAGGGAAGCGCGCGAGGGAGTTTCGGAGCAGCGCGGGGAGGACCGCCCGATGAGTGGATTCGGACGTCGGGGAGGGGAGGGTGGGCGTGGCGGGATGATGGGCGCACGGGATCGCAACTTTGGATCTGGAAACCGCTGAAAAGGGGGATGGGACAGGTCTGAATGATGTTGTCTGCTTTTTTTTTTCAGAGGAACGGGGTGTAGGAAAGGGGATGCTATAGATAAGCGTTTAGTTGTTTTCATCCTTTAGTTTTACTTGCTCTGTTCGGTTTCAGTTCACACGGGGGATTTGGTTATCCTTTAGATTACACTGCTGTCTTTGTTGGCCAAGGGAAAAGGGGGCAATCAATACGCATGGATTGCCTGTATCTATGCTGCCCCTCCATTTTTCTCCTCACGTGATTTTGGGATAGAGAAAAAGCGCTTGCATGCGATTGCCGGGTCTATGGAAAGTTTTTTACAGAGTGGCCGTAGGCTGAAATAGATGAGTAGGGAAGTAACAGAAAATAGTCGGGTAGAAGCTGCCATTAGGAAGTGGTATCACTGCTGATTGAAGTTTTTGACGGTATAGCGTAGCAATAGCAGTATGTTTAGAAGAGGGTTGTCTGTTATTTTTATCCCAAACAGTAGCCATGGGATTCATGCTTGGTGGCCCAACAAGAAACCATGCGAGAAAGTTCCAAACCTCCTGGCTCGCTCTTGGAAGGATTTGTTCCCGTCAACTGCCTTTTTCTCTCCCCTTCGCACCACTTCCTACGCCCTTGCACGATTAACGAGGCATGATAAACGAAAGACTTGAGCAGAATGAAAAAAATCCAACTTGCTTATTTTGCCCTATCTGAGGAGGTGGAAGGTAAGTTGGATGGCCCAAATTATGACAGTGCTTAAGTAATGAATGCTAAATTTTATCCACATTGTAGTAACACACGAGTTAGCAACGTGTTCTCCTCTTTCGTAACATTTCAGGTGTGTGAGAGGGGAGGCTAGCAAGCGGAGTGCCTTTCTCGTCGAGACGCTAGTCGTCTTTAAAGAAACACACCTCCTTAAAGAAGGCGAGCGTCTGTGAGCATCGTCTTCGCTTTTGCAGCCTCTCTCCCCCTCCCCTCCCACTCCAGTTCGTTATGCACACAACGGTGCGGTTTAGCATCCCCGCGTTGATCACCATCGCTGTGGAGAGGAGACTACCCCTCTTGGTAATATTACAATACGTCCAACTTCAAGAAATGGCACCCACGAACACGGGAAAGAAAAATTCTTTGAGATAAGCACACAAAATGCAGGGTGTTGCTTATTTAACAATAAGGCAATCTTCCGCTTTTTAGTGACGAAATAGTGGAGGCACAGAAAGAAAAAGGAAAAGGCTAAAAATACGCCATCACGATGTGAATCAGTCGGTTCGTTTCTACGATAAGCCTATCTATTCTTGCACTCACCGCTGGAGGAGGGAAAGTCAACAAGAAGCTCCATAAGCTACACCCTACTACCACTATCACCTTTCATTCCCACAACGCACACACACACAAAACAAAAAGAAATAAATTCAACGAATACACACATATAGGGGAAGGAGGCATTTCTTTTACTTTTCTCATTTCTCCAAATAGAAATGTACGCTTTGGGTGACTCTGAGGGTGCACTGCCGAGCACCCCAGTTGTTTCGAATACCGAAGAAGCTGCGAATGACTCTGGCTATTGGTGGACGCATGGCAGCCTGCAGGAGGAGGCCGCACCGCCCGACATCACCGCCGCAGAGGCCGTCGGCGGCTGTCTAAAACGAATCACAGAGCTCGCGCGAGAGCAACTGGCGGCGGTTATCACCCGCTTCCCCTCTGAAATCCATCTGGACTCCATTCCTTTACGAAGTTCAATTTACGATACTTTTCTCGCGCAGAATGCGCTTGCGGCGGAGCTGTATCAACTCCGCAAGGCAATGCAGCGGGGCTGGATGGAAGGGGAGCGGGAAGAGCGGCGGCAGGATGAGGAAGTGCTAGCGATCAACCACAACACCGGCAGCAGCTCGCCTTCGCCGAAGCTTCTTTCGCATGAAAATGACGCCATGACACCGATCAAACGGCAAAAACTGGAGCTCCTGCAACGGCAGGTGTACATCAGCTTCCTGCGCGCTATTCTAGAGGGTTTTGTAGACGCTACGGAAGTGAAGGATACCGATGAGAACGCGTCTGCCGCGCGTGAGCAACGGCGGCGCGTCGCTGAGGTTTGCCTGGATGGTTTGCTTCGGGAAATTTGCTTTCCCATGGAGGCTACGGCGACGCCTGCTGCCGCGGATGAAGAAAAAAAAAACGAAAAGGATGAAAACGGCAGTCATGCAGGCGTGGTGCGCTCATGGTCGGCAGGGGGATTTCTACCCGCTCTCCGAACCGCGCGCTCCTCAACCGTGGCGAATGAAATTCGCGCCGAGGAGCTTTGTTTCCTACGCGGCTGCGTGGAGGCTTTCCTGCGGGAGGAGCTCGGCCTTTGCCGGATGGAATGGGCGCGGTGTTTTATCGGGCTGAGCGAGGCGGCGCGTGGGGAATGCTTAAAAGCCTTAGCGAGGCTCGACCATACCGCAAAGGGATTGCTCGCGCAGGGGAAAAACGCTACGGATGGCAAAATGAGAGTGGCGACCTACTTTGAGGAGTCCGCGCGGACCATGCGGATGGTGGCTGAGATTTCCGAGATGTCTTACACCACCCCCACAGTGCAGATCCCTGATAAGCTCGCTTATGCGACTGAGCTCGGTGGAATAAGCTCCCTTGTGAGCTTCATGGACTTCGAAAGCGCGGCGCGGCTTTTTGCTGTTTTGCGGGATTGGCTCCCATCGTGCAGTCGCTTATACGAAACGACGCTGGCAATGCCCTTGCACGGCGAGGAAAATGAAGGGGAAGATCATGAGGTTCATCGCCACCTGGAAGAAGTGTATCGTGAGTTTCGAACGCGGTGCGTGGCGATCGCTAGAGTGTTTGCGTGGTATGCGGAAAGCAGTTTGCTACTTCCGCTCTATGCGGAACTCCTCGCGCGGGTGTTCTTTTGTAGTCTGAAGACGCCTCTTTCCGATGAGGCAGCGGAGGAAGAGAAGGAAGATGAAGAGAAAGGAGAAGAAGCGTGCAAGCTAGAGGCCTACAAGCGTTGCCTTCCGCAACTAAGTGCCGCGATCGCGGCCTCGTCTTCCTCTGCTTCCTCCAGCCTCGATCCCGGATTCCATCAGGTTTGCCAGGCTCGTCTGGCGCATCTCTTCCCCGCGTACCTCGCGGAGGCGGCGAGGGTGGGCTCCGCCTCTCCGGCCGCGAAAGAGGAGGAAGTGATCGCCGTGCTCTCATACAGTTTTGCGCAGCAGCCGCTGGTGACGCTGCAGCGGGTTTTCGGCTTCGCGCTCTCGGCAAGCGCCGTGGCGCGGCAGTGTGCGGCGGATCCGCTCCTCTCCGACGTCGGCACGCAGCGCCTGGAGGCGCGCCTCGCGGCCTTCACCGAGAGCAGCAGCGGCGGCCCCACCCCCGCGGAGCTATTCTTCCCCCGGCTCTACCTCACCTTCCGCGTGCTGGAGAAGGGCCTGAGCCTCTGGCGCGCCACCCTACGGGGGAAAGGGAAGGAGGAGGCGCTGC